GTAACTGATGTGTTACTGTAACTGATGTGTTACTGTAACTGATGTTTTTACTGTAACTGATGTGTTACTGTTGTGTTACTGTAACTGATGTGTTACTGTAACTGATGTGTTTTCTGTAACTGATGTGTTACTGTAACTGTTTGTACTGTAACTGATGTGTTACTGTAACTGATGTGTTACTGTAACTGATGTGTTACTGTAACTGATGTGTTACTGTAACTGATGTGTTTGTAACTGATGTGTTACTGTAACTGTGTGTTACTGTAACTGATGTGTTACTGTACTGATGTCGTTGTGTTAACTGATGTGTTACTGTAACTGTTGTGTTACTGTAAGATGTGTTACTGTAACTGATGGTGTTACTGTAACTGATGTGTTACTGTTGTTACTGTAACTGATGTGTTACTGTAACTGATGTGTTACTGTATTACTGATGTGTTACTGTAACTGTTGTGTTACTGTAACTGATGTGTTACTGTAACTGATGTGTTACTGTAACTGTTGTTACTGTAACTGATGTGTTACTGTAACTGTTGTGTTACTGATGTGTTACTGTAACTGAGTGTGTTAACTGTAACTGATGTGTTACTGTAACTGGTTTGTGGTACTGTAACTGTGTGTAAATGATGTGTTACTGTAACTGATGTGTTGTACTGATGTGTTCAACTTTTTTTGATGTGTTACTGTAACTGATGTGTTATGTAACTGATTGTGTTACTGTAACTGATGTGTGTTTGTAACTGTGTGTTACTGTAACTGATGTGTTACTGTAACGATGTTGTGTACTGATGTTGTTACTGTAACTGATGTGTTACTGTAACTGATGTGTTACTGTAACTGATGTGTTACTGTAACTGATGTGTTACTGTAACTGTTGTGTTACTGTAACTGATGTGTACTGTAACTGATGTGTTACTGTAACTGTTCTGTGTTTACTGTAACTGATGTGTTAACTGATGTGTTACTGTACTGTTGTGTTACTGTAACTGATGTGTACTGTAACTGTTGTGTTACTGTAACTGATGTTACTGTAACTGATGTGTTACTGATGAGTGTTTGTAACTGATGTGTTACTGTAACTGTTGTGTTACTGTAAGTGTTATTGTAACTTGATTTGTTACTGTTGTGTTAACTGTAACTGATATGTTACTGTAACTGATGTGTTACTGTTGTGTTCTGATGTGTTACTGTAACTGATGTGTTACTGTAAACTGATGTGTTACGGTAACTGATGTGTTACGTTGTGTTCCTGTAACTGATGTGTTACTGTAACTGATGTGTTCCTGTAATGTTGTGTTACGTAACTGATGTGTTACTGTAACTGATGTGTTACTGTAACTGATGTGTTACTGATGTGTTACTGATGTGTTACTGTAACTGATGTGTTACTGTAACTGATGTGTTACTGTAACTGATGTGTTACTGTTGTGTTACTGTAACTGATGTGTTACTGTAACTGATTTGTTACTGTAAACTGTTGTGTTACTGTAACTGATGTGTTACTGTAACTGTTGTGTTACTGTAACTGATGTGTTACTGTAACTGTTGTGTTACTGTAACTGATGTGTTACTGTAACTGATGTGTTGCTGTAACTGTTGTGTTACTGTAACTGATGTGTTGCTGTAACTGTTGTGTTACTGTAACTGATGTGTTGCTGTAACTGATGTGTTACTGTAACTGATGTTACTAACTATTGACTACTGATAGTTTTCGCTTTCTTTCCTATTTGTCAAACCTTTCTACTCCTCAACTCTAAGTTCAGGATATTGTCCAGTTCCTTTTAACTGTGTAGCATTATGATGGACACCAACTCATAAACAAACACATGTATAGATCTGAACTACCATTAGAGGCAGTGGGAACAGGGCTGACTGGCCATTAACACAGAGACTGGCATCCCATTCCCTGGTCAAAGAAGTGCACTGTATAGGGAAAACTATGCCATTTGGGATGCATTAAGAGACACCTGACTTGAACGGACCAATAAAGATCACAGTTGTTCTAAACATTGAAATGTGAGCCGTCCTCTGATGCTGAAACACCAGCTCTCTCCTTTATTCTCTCTCTCTGTCCATCTTGAATCCAGTCCTCTAGTCCTTTACCAGTTCCACTGGCTGACCTGGTACTGTGAAGTTTGCACAGGGAATATTCCAAAGGCCAAAGTACAAGACTACATGTGCTGCGCGTACACTCTGGAGCCCATTCAATAGGAATGTTGTGGTAACCTCTGGAGGCTGAGGAGAGAGTTGGACAGGGAGGGTAGGGAGGCTGAGGAGAGAGTTGGACAGGGAGGGTAGGGAGGCTGAGGAGAGAGTTGGACAGGGAGGGTAGGGAGGCTGAGGAGAGAGTTGGACAGGGAGGGTAGGGAGGCTGAGGAGAGAGTTGGACAGGGAGGGTAGGGAGGCTGAGGAGAGAGTTGGACAGGGAGGGTAGGGAGGCTGAAGAGGACTTGTCTGGTTTTTTTATGCTCTGGATGGGAGCCTTCCCAGCATGCTGTTCACTTTCTGCTGTGTTTGGACAGGGCGGCAATTTGTTTTCTCACCATTGAAACTGGAGGTCTCTCTTAACGTGGAATGGACCATGCTCTGTGTCCCAAATACCACCCTATTCTCTACATAGTGCACTACTGTTGATAGGGCTCTGGTCTGAAGTAGTGAGCTATATAGGGAATATGGTGCCATTTGGCCAGTATGGCACAGTCCAGCTGTTTGTTATCTCATATTAACTGTCTTCTGACTGACTTTAGAACAGTTTGGAGTGTATAGAATGATTCTACAGAACGACCCAGAACCTCTCTGTCTAGAGATCCATGTCCGACTGGATGTGACCTCTGACCTGTTGCTGGGTGGAGACATCCTGTCTCAGTCTAAGCTCTAGAATCATGGGAAATAGAGGTGACTGAAGAGCAACAATGATATGATTGGTTACTGTCATGTACTCCCATCCACTCATTTTTTGACTTGGTGTCATTGTCCGAATTTCATTGACATTTGAGTGATTTTTTAGCAGGCACTCTTATCCAGAGTGACATGACATCATAGTACTTATCACAATGTCCAGTACAGAAATCACCCTCGTAATATTGTCTATGTAATGATGACATAGTCTGTTGAATGATCCACCCTCTGTTTCCATCAGAATTCAACAGTGGAGGTTATCCATTTTAGATAAAACTTTACTAAATATATTCACATGTCACCAAAATAATTGATTAAAACACACTGTTTTGCAATGAAGGTCTACAGTAGCCTCAGCAGCACTCTGTAGGGTACAGCTAGCTAGCACTGCAGTGCATAAAATGTAGTGAGTAGTTGACTCAAAGAGAGAGAAAGATAATAGTGGAACAGTTTTGAACAAATTAATTTATTCCAAAATGAAAGAGAGAGAGAGAGAGAGAGAGAGAGAGAGAGAGACACTCCACTGTAACCTGAACCAACCCAGCAGCCTAGCTCTGTCCGTAGAGGTGTAGTATCACTGTGACAGTGTAGAGGTGTAGTATCACTGTGACAGTGTAGAGGTGTAGTATCACTGTGACAGTGTAGAGGTGTAGTATCACTGTGACAGTGTAGAGGTGTAGTATCAGGTCTCTGTTTTTCAGGTGATCTACCTGCAGCAGTAAACCTAACTGTCTGTTTTTCTGTGTGTTTCAGCTCTAAATTAAGCTAACTAACCACTGTAAAGCTAACTATCCACTGTAAAGCTAACTAACCACTGTAAAGCTAACTATCCACTGTAAAGATAACTAACCACTGTAAAGATAACTAACCAATGTAAAGCTAACTATCCACTGTAAAGATAACTAACCACTGTAAAGATAACTAACCACTGTAAAGCTAACTAACCAATGTAAAGCTAACTAACCACTGTAAAGATAACTAACCACTGTAAAGCTAACTATCCACTGTAAAGCTAACTATCCACTGTAAAGATAACTAACCACTGTAAAGCTAACTAACCACTGTAAAGCTAACTAACCACTGTAAAGCTAACTAACCACTGTAAAGCTAACTAACCACTGTAAAGCTAAATATCCACTGTAAAGCTAACTAACCACTGTAAAGCTAACTAACCACTGTAAAGCTAACTATCCACTGTAAAGATAACTAACCACTGTAAAGATAACTAACCAATGTAAAGCTAACTATCCACTGTAAAGATAACTAACCACTGTAAAGATAACTAACCACTGTAAAGCTAACTAACCAATGTAAAGCTAACTAACCACTGTAAAGCTAACTAACCACTGTAAAGCTAACTATCCACTGTAAAGCTAACTATCCACTGTAAAGATAACTAAACACTGTAAAGCTAACTAACCACTGTAAAGCTAACTAACCACTGTAAAGCCACAGTAAAGCTAACTAACCACTGTAAAGCTAACTAACCACTGTAAAGCTAACTAACCACTGTAAAGCCAACTATCTACTGTAAAGCTAACTAACCACTGTAAAGCTAACTATCCACTGTAAAGCTAACTAACCACTGTAAAGCTAACTGACCACTGTAAAGCTAACTATCCATTGTAAAGCTAACTAACCACTGTAAAACTAACTAACCACTGTAAAGCTAACTAACCACTGTAAAGCTAACTAACCACTCTAAAGCCAACTATCTACTGTAAAGCTAACTAAGCACTGTAAAGCTAACTATCCACTGTAAAGCTAACTAACCACTGTAAAGCTAACTGACCACTGTAAAGCTAACTATCCATTGTAAAGCTAACTAACCACTGTAAAACTAACTAACCACTGTAAAGCTAACTAACCACTGTAAAGCTAACTATCCACTGTAAAGCTAACTAACCACTGTAAAGCTAAATAACCACTGTAAAGCTAACTAACCACTGTAAAGCTAATTAACCACTGTAAAGCTAACTAACCACTGTAAAGCTAACTAACCACTGTAAAGCTAACTAACCACTGTAAAGCTAACTAACCACTGTAAAGCTAACTGACCACTGTAAAGCTAACTAACCACTGTGTTTTCTGTGTCTCAGGTGATGTTCCTGCAGCACGTGGAGCTCAGCAGAGACAAGGTGTTTCCGATGCACCCCACCAGTATTAATGGAGTAGAGGACATGTCTACTCTGGCAGAGCTACACGAAGCTGCCATCATGCACAACCTCTACCTCCGCTACCAGAAGGACTGCATCTATGTAAGACACTGTTATAGACTAACCCTACCAGACAGATATCATCTATATAAGACACTGTTATAGACTAACCCTACCAGACAGATATCATCTATATAAGACACTGTTATAGACTAACCCTACCAGAGAGATATCATCTATATAAGACACTGTTATAGACTAACCCTACCAGACAGATATCATCTATATAAGACTCTGTTATAGACTAACCCTACCAGACAGATATCATCTATATAAGACACTGTTATAGACTAACCCTACCAGACAGATATCATCTATATAAGACACTGTTATAGACTAACCCTACCAGACAGATATCATCTATATAAGACTCTGTTATAGACTAACCCTACCAGACATATATCATCTATATAAGACACTGTTATAGACTAACCCTACCAGACAGATATCATCTATATAAGACACTGTTATAGACTAACCCTACCAGACAGATATCATCTATATAAGACTCTGTTATAGACTAACCCTACCAGACAGATATCATCTATATAAGACACTGTTATAGACTAGACTAACCCTACCAGACAGATATCATCTATATAAGACTCTGTTATAGACTAACCCTACCAGACAGATATCATCTATATAAGACTCTGTTATAGACTAACCCTACCAGACAGATATCATCTATGTAAGACACTGTTATAGACTAACCCTACCAGACAGATATCATCTATATAAGACTCTGTTATAGACTAACCCTACCAGACAGATATCATCTATATAAGACTGTTATAGACTAACCCTACCAGACAGATATCATCTATATAAGACTATGTTATAGACTAACCCTACCAGACAGATATCATCTATGTAAGACTATGTTATAGACTAACCCTACCAGGCAGATATAATCTATATAAGACTGTTATAGACTAACCCTACCAGACAGATATCATCTATATAAGACTGTTATAGACTAACCCTACCAGACAGATATCATCTATATAAGACTGTTATAGACTAACCCTACCAGACAGATATCATCTATATAAGACTCTGTTATAGACTAACCCTACCAGACAGATATCATCTATATAAGACTCTGTTATAGACTAACCCTACCAGACAGATATCATCTATATAAGACTGTTATAGACTAACCCTACCAGACAGATATCATCTATATAAGACACTGTTATAGACTAACCCTACCAGACATATATCATCTATATAAGACTCTGTTATAGACTAACCCTACCAGACAGATATCATCTATATAAGACACTGTTATAGACTAACCCTACCAGACAGATATCATCTATATAATATTCTGTTATAGACTAACCCTACCAGACAGATATCATCTATATAAGACTCTGTTATAGACTAACCCTACCAGACAGATATCATCTATATAAGACTGTTATAGACTAACCCTACCAGACAGATATCATCTATATAAGACTCTGTTATAGACTAACCCTACCAGACAGATATCATCTATATAAGACACTGTTATAGACTAGACTAACCCTACCAGACAGATATCATCTATATAAGACTCTGTTATAGACTAGACTAACCCTACCAGACAGATATCATCTATATAAGACACTGTTATAGACTAACCCTACCAGACAGATATCATCTATATAAGACACTGTTATAGACTAACCCTACCAGACAGATATCATCTATATAAGACTCTGTTATAGACTAACCCTACCAGACAGATATCATCTATATAAGACTCTGTTATAGACTAGACTAACCCTACCAGACAGATATCATCTATATAAGACACTGTTATAGACTAACCCTACCAGACAGATATCATCTATATAAGACACTGTTATAGACTAACCCTACCAGACAGATATCATCTATATAAGACTCTGTTATAGACTAACCCTACCAGACAGATATCATCTATATAAGACACTGTTATAGACTAACCCTACCAGACAGATATCATCTATATAAGACACTGTTATAGACTAACCCTACCAGACAGATATCATCTATATAAGACTCTGTTATAGACTAGACTAACCCTACCAGACAGATATCATCTATATAAGACTCTGTTATAGACTAACCCTACCAGACAGATATCATCTATGTAAGACTCTGTTATAGACTAACCCTACCAGACAGATATCATCTATATAAGACACTGTTATAGACTAACCCTACCAGACAGATATCATCTTTATAAGACTCTGTTATAGACTAACCCTACCAGACAGATATCATCTATATAAGACTCTGTTATAGACTAACCCTACCAGACAGATATCATCTATATAAGACACTGTTATAGACTAACCCTACCAGACAGATATCATCTATATAATACTCTGTTATAGACTAACCCTACCAGACAGATATCATCTATGTAAGACACTGTTATAGACTAACCCTACCAGACAGATATCATCTATATAAGACTCTGTTATAGACTAACCCTACCAGACAGATATCATCTATATAAGACTCTGTTATAGACTAGACTAACCCTACCAGACAGATATCATCTATATAAGACTCTGTTATAGACTAACCCTACCAGACAGATATCATCTATATAAGACTCTGTTATAGACTAACCCTACCGGACAGATATCATCTATATAAGACACTGTTATAGACTAACCCTACCAGACAGATATCATCTATATAAGACTCTGTTATAGACTAACCCTACCAGACAGATATCATCTATATAAGACTCTGTTATAGACTAACCCTACCAGACAGATATCATCTATATAAGACTCTGTTATAGACTAACCCTACCAGACAGATATCATCTATATAAGACACTGTTATAGACTAACCCTACCAGACAGATATCATCTATATAAGACTCTGTTATAGACTAGACTAACCCTACCAGACAGATATCATCTATATAATACACTGTTATAGACTAACCCTACCAGACAGATATCATCTATATAAGACTCTGTTATAGACTAACCCTACCAGACAGATATCATCTATATAAGACTCTGTTATAGACTAACCCTACCAGACAGATATCATCTATATAAGACACTGTTATAGACTAGACTAACCCTACCAGACAGATATCATCTATATAAGACTCTGTTATAGACTAACCCTACCAGACAGATATCATCTATATAAGACACTGTTATAGACTAACCCTACCAGACAGATATCATCTATATAAGACTCTGTTATAGACTAACCCTACCAGACAGATATCATCTATATAAGACTCTGTTATAGACTAACCCTACCAGACAGATATCATCTATATAAGACTCTGTTATAGACTAACCCTACCAGACAGATATCATCTATATAAGACACTGTTATAGACTAACCCTACCAGACAGATATCATCTATATAAGACACTGTTATAGACTAACACTACCAGACAGATATCATCTATATAAGACTCTGTTATAGACTAGACTAACCCTACCAGACAGATATCATCTATATAAGACACTGTTATAGACTAACCCTACCAGACAGATATCATCTATATAAGACTCTGTTATAGACTAACCCTACCAGACAGATATCATCTATATAAGACTCTGTTATAGACTAACCCTACCAGACAGATATCATCTATATAAGACACTGTTATAGACTAACCCTACCAGACAGATATCATCTATATAAGACTCTGTTATAGACTAGACTAACCCTACCAGACAGATATCATCTATATAAGACACTGTTATAGACTAACCCTACCAGACAGATATCATCTATATAAGACACTGTTATAGACTAACCCTACCAGACAGATATCATCTATATAAGACTCTGTTATAGACTAACCCTACCAGACAGATATCATCTATATAAGACACTGTTATAGACTAACCCTACCAGACAGATATCATCTATATAAGACTCTGTTATAGACTAACCCTACCAGACAGATATCATCTATATAAGACTCTGTTATAGACTAACCCTACCAGACAGATATCATCTATATAAGACACTGTTATAGACTAACCCTACCAGACAGATATCATCTATATAAGACACTGTTATAGACTAACCCTACCAGACAGATATCATCTATATAAGACTCTGTTATAGACTAACCCTACCAGACAGATATCATCTATATAAGACTCTGTTATAGACTAACCCTACCAGACAGAATCATCTATATAAGGACTCTGGTTATTAGACTTAGACTAACCCTACCAGACAGATATCATCTATATAAGACTCTGTTATAGACTAACCCTACCAGGACAGATATCATCTATATAAGACTCTGTTATAGACTAACCCTACCAGACAGATATCATCTATATAAGACTCTGTTATAGACTAACCCTACCAGACAGATATCATCTATATAAGACTCTGTTATAGACTAGACTAACCCTACCAGGCAGATATCATCTATATAAGACTCTGTTATAGACTAACCCTACCAGACAGATATCATCTATATAAGACTCTGTTATAGACTAACCCTACCAGACAGATATCATCTATATAAGACTCTGTTATAGACTAGACTAACCCTACCAGACAGATATCATCTATATAAGACTCTGTTATAGACTAACCCTACCAGACAGATATCATCTATATAAGACTCTGTTATAGACTAACCCTACCAGACAGATATCATCTATATAAGACTATGTTATAGACTAACCCTACCAGACAGATATCATCTATATAAGACTCTGTTATAGACTAGACTAACCCCTACCAGACAGATATCATCTATATAAGACACTGTTATAGACTAACCCCTACCAGACAGATATCATCTATATAATACTCTGTTATTAGACTAACCCTACCAGACAGATATCATCTATATAAGACACTGTTATAGACTAACCCTACCAGACAGATATCATCTATATAAGACACTGTTATAGACTAACCCTACCAGACAGATTCATCTATATAAGACTCTGTTATAGACTAACCCTACCAGACAGATATCATCTATATAAGACTCTGTTATAGACTAACCCTACCAGACAGAATCATCTATATAAGACTCTGTTATAGACTAACCCTACCAGACAGATATCATCTATGTAAGACACTGTTATAGACAACCCTACCAGACAGATATCATCTATATAAGACTCTGTTATAGACTAACCCTACCAGACAGATATCATCTATATAAGACACTGTTATAGACTAACCCTACCAGACAGATATCATCTATATAAGACTCTGTTATAGACTAACCCTACCAGACAGATATCATCTATATAAGACTCTGTTATAGACTAACCCTACCAGACAGATATCATCTATATAAGACTCTGTTATAGACTAACCCTACCAGACAGATATCATCTATATAAGACTCTGTTATAGACTAGACTAACCCTACCAGACAGATATCATCTATATAAGACACTGTTATAGACTAGACTAACCCTACCAGACAGATATCATCTATATAAGACACTGTTATAGACTAACCCTACCAGACAGATATCATCTATATAAGACTCTGTTATAGACTAACCCTACCAGACAGATATCATCTATATAAGACACTGTATAGACTAACCCTACCAGACAGATATCATCTATATAAGACTCTGTTATAGACTAACCCTACCAGACAGATATCATCTATATAAGACTCTGTTTATAGACTAGACTAACCCTACCAGACAGATATCATCTATATAAGACACTGTTATAGACTAGACTAACCCTACCAGACAGATATCATCTATATAAGACACTGTTATAGACTAACCCTACCAGACAGATATCATCTATATAAGACTCTGTTATAGACTAACCCTACCAGACAGATATCATCTATATAAGACACTGTTATAGACTAACCCTACCAGACAGATATCATCTATATAAGACTCTGTTATAGACTAACCCTACCAGACAGATATCATCTATATAAGACTCTGTTATAGACTAACCCTACCAGACAGATATCATCTATATAAGACTCTGTTATAGACTAACCCTACCAGACAGATATCATCTATATAAGACTCTGTTATAGACTAGACTAACCCCTACCAGACAGATATCATCTATATAAGACACTGTTATAGACTAGACTAACCCTACCAGACAGATATCATCTATATAAGACACTGTTATAGACTAACCCTACCAGACAGATATCATCTATATAAGACTCTGTTATAGACTAACCCTACCAGACAGATATCATCTATATAAGACACTGTTATAGACTAACCCTACCAGACAGATATCATCTATATAAGACACTGTTATAGACTAACCCTACCAGACAGATATCATCTATATAAGACACTGTTATAGACTAGACTAACCCTACCAGACAGATATCATCTATATAAGACTCTGTTATAGACTAACCCTACCAGACAGATATCATCTATGTAAGACACTGTTATAGACTAACCCTACCAGACAGATATCATCTATATAAGACACTGTTATAGACTAACCCTACCAGACAGATATCATCTATATAAGACACTGTTATAGACTAACCCTACCAGACAGATATCATCTATATAAGACTCTGTTATAGACTAACCCTACCAGACAGATATCATCTATGTAAGACACTGTTATAGACTAACCCTACCAGACAGATATCATCTATATAAGACACTGTTATAGACTAACCCTACCAGACAGATATCATCTATATAAGACTCTGTTATAGACTAACCCTACCAGACAGATATCATCTATATAAGACTCTGTTATAGACTAACCCTACCAGACAGAATCATCTATATACGACTCTGTTATAGACTAACCCTACCAGACAGATATCATCTATATAAGACACTGTTATAGACTAGACTAACCCTACCAGACAGATATCATCTATATAAGACACTGTTATAGACTAGACTAACCCTACCAGACAGATATCATCTATATAAAACACTGTTATAGACTAACCCTACCAGACAGATATCATCTATATAAGACTCTGTTATAGACTAACCCTACCAGACAGATATAATCTATATAAGACTCTGTTATAGACTAACCCTACCAGACATTATCATCTATATAAGACTATGTTATCGACTAACCCTACCAGACCAGATATCATCTATATAAGACTCTGTTATAGGACTAACCCTACCAGACAGATATCATCTATATAAGACTCTGTATAGACTAACCCTACCAGACAGATATCATCTATATAAGACACTGTTATAGACTAACCCTACCAGACAGATATCATCTATATAAGACTTGTTATAGACTAACCCTACCAGACAGATATCATCTATATAAGACACTGTTATAGACTAACCCTACCAGACAGATATCATCTATATAAGACTTGTTATAGACTAACCCTACCAGACAGATATCATCTATATAAGACTCTGTTATAGACTAACCCTACCAGACAGATATCATCTATATAAGACTCTGTTATAGACTAACCCTACCAGACAGATATCATCTATATAAGACTCTGTTATAGACTAACCCTACCAGACAGATATCATCTATATAAGACACTGTTATAGACTAACCCTACCAGACAGATATCATCTATATAAGACTCTGTTATAGACTAACCCTACCAGACAGATATCATCTATGTAAGACACTGTTATAGACTAACCCTACCAGACAGATATCATCTATATAAGACTCTGTTATAGACTAACCCTACCAGACAGATATCATCTATATAAGACTCTGTTATAGACTAACCCTATCAGACAGATATCATCTACAGTGGGGAAAAAAAGTATTTAGTCCGCCACCAATTGTGCAAGTTCTCCCACTTAAAAAGATGAGAGAGGCCTGTAATTTTCATCATAGGTACACGTCAACTATGACAGACAAATTGAGAAAAGAAATTCCAGAAAATCACATTGTAGGATTTTTTATGAATTTATTTGCAAATTATGGTGGAAAATAAGTATTTGGTCACCTACAAACAAGCAAGATTTCTGGCTCTCACAGACCTGTAACTTCTTCTTTAAGAGGCTCCTCTGTCCTCCACTCGTTACCTGTATTAATGGCACCTGTTTGAACTTGTTATCAGTATAAAAGACACCTGTCCACAACCTCAAACAGTCACACTCCAAACTCCACTATGGCCAAGACCAAAGAGCTGTCAAAGGACACCAGAAACAAAATTATAGACCTGCACCAGGCTGGGAAGACTGAATCTGCAATAGGTAAGCAGCTTGGTTTGAAGAAATCAACTGTGGGAGCAATTATTAGGAAATGGAAGACATACAAGACCACTGATAATCTCCCTCGATCTGGGGCTCCACGCAAGATCTCACCCCGTGGGGTCAAAATGATCACAAGAACGGTGAGCAAAAATCCCAGAACCACACGGTGGGACCTAGTGAATGACCTGCAGAGAGCTGGGACCAAAGTAACAAAGCCTACCATCAGTAACACACTACGCCGCCAGGGACTCAAATCCTGCAGTGGCAGACGTGTCCCCCTGCTTAAGCCAGTACATGTCCAGGCCCGTCTGAAGTTTGCTAGAGTGCATTTGGATGATCCAGAAGAGGATTGGGAGAATGTCATATGGTCAGATGAAACCAAAATTGAACTTTTTGGTAAAAACTCAACTTGTCGTGTTTGGAGGACAAAGAATGCTGAGTTGCATCCAAAGAACACCATACCTACTGTGAAGCATGGGGGTGGAAACATCATGCTTTGGGGCTGTTTTCTGCAAAGGGACCAGGACGACTGATCCATGTAAAGGAAAGAATGAATGGGGCCATGTATCGTGAGATTTTGAGTGAAAACCTCCTTCCATCAGCAAGGGCATTGAAGATGAAACGTGACTGGGTCTTTCAGCATGACAATGATCCCAAACACACCGCCCGGGCAACGAAGGAGTGGATTCGTAAGAAGCATTTCAAGGTCCTGGAGTGGCCTAGCCAGTCTCCAGATCTCAACCCCATAGAAAATCTTTGGAGGGAGTTGAAAGTCCGTGTTGCCCAGCGACAGCCCCAAAACATCACTGCTCTAGAGGAGATCTGCATGGAGGAATGGGCCAAAATACCAGCAACAGTGTGTGAAAACCTTGTGAAGACTTACAGAAAACGTTTGACCTGTGTCATTGCCAACAAAGGGTATATAACAAAGTATTGAGAAACTTTTGTTATTGACCAAATACTTATTTTCCACCATAATTTGGAAATAAATTCATGAAAAATCCTACAATGTGATTTTCTGGAATTGTTTTTCTCATTTTGTCTGTCATAGTTGACGTGTACCTATGATGAAAATTACAGGCCTCTCTCATCTTTTTAAGTGGGAGAACTTGCACAATTGGTGGCTGACTAAATACTTTTTTTCCTCACTGTATATAAGACTCTGTTATAGACTAGACTAACCCTACCAGACAGATATCATCTATATAAGACACTGTTATAGACTAGACTAACCCTACCAGACAGATATCATCTATATAAGACACTGTTATAGACTAACCCTACCAGACAGATATCATCTATATAAGACACTGTTATAGACTAACCCTACCAGACAGATATCATCTATATAAGACACTGTTATAGACTAACCCTACCAGACAGATATCATCTATATAAGACTCTGTTATAGACTAACCCTACCAGACAGATATCATCTATATAACGACTCTGTTATAGACTAGACTAACCCTACCAGACAGATATCATCTATATAAGACCATGTTATAGACTAACCCTACCAGACAGATATCATCTATATAAGACTCTGTTATAGACTAACCCTACCAGACAGATATCATCTATATAAGACACTGTTATAGACTAACCCTACCCAGACAGATATCATCTATATAAGACACTGTTATAGACTAACCCTACCAGACAGATATCATCTATATAAGACTCTGTTATAGACTAACCCTACCAGACAGATATCATCTATATAAGACTATGTTATAGACTAACCCTACCAGACAGATATCATCTATATAAGACTCTGTTATAGACTAACCCTACCAGACAGATATCATCTATATAAGACACTGTTATAGACTAACCCTACCAGACAGATATCATCTATATAAGACACTGTTATAGACTAACCCTACCAGACAGATATCATCTATATAAGACACTGTTATAGACTAGCCCTACCAGACAGATATCATCTATATAAGACACTGTTATAGACTAACCCGTGATTCTCAACCTTCTTTGTCACATTTTGCTCTCCCCGAAGTACGCCTTTTGGATAGGCCAGGTACCAGTGATGTAAGTCTTTTGGATAGGCCAGGTACCAGTGATGTAAGTCTTTTGGATAGGCCAGGTACCAGTGATGTAAGTCTTTTGGATAGGCCAGGTACCAGTGATGTAAGTCTTTTGGATAGGCCAGGTACCAGTGATGTAAGTCTTTTGGATAGGCCAGGTACCAGTGATGTAAGTCTTTTGGATAGGCCAGGTACCAGTGAGTAAGTCTTTTGTAAGTTCAGGTACCACGTGTGTAAGTCTTTGGATAGGCCAGGTACCAGTGATGTAAGTCTTTTGGATAGGCCAGGTACCAGTGATGTAAGTCTTTTGGAAGGCCAGGTACCAGTATGTTTGGATGCAGGTCAGTAGTACGTTTTGGATAGGCCAGGTACCAGTGATGTAAGTCTGTTGGATAGGCAGGGTTTCAAGGTCCAGTGATGTAAGTCTTTTGGATAGGCCAGGTACCAGTGATGTAAGTCTTTTGGATAGGCCAGGTACCAGTGATGTAAGACACTGTGTATTCTTTCAAAGAAATGACAGTCTTGCAGTGTTACTTAACCCATTCACGTCCTTGAACATATATTAGTAAATATTAATGCGCACAGAACAATTAGTTTGTGGATGTAAATGCATGAATGTGGTCTGTTCATAATAGTTTGTACAAGGATGTAGACAGGACCATTGACATGTGGTGTCAACATAGTAGACAAGGATCTAGACAGGAAATTGACATGTGAGTGTCAACATAGTCTAGACAAGTTCTAGACAAAGGAACATGAAGTTCAAGGAATGTTCTTAGAATAGGATTATGCAAACAAAGGGTATTGCCATAAGATGGATTGAGTATTCTTGCATAAGTAGACAGTGGTCTAAGGAATTGCAGTGACATCAACAAAATGAAGAAGAGGGCAAAGGAGAAAGAGAATCCAAAAGACTGAGACCAATAAGCAGTCATTCCAACCTGGTCTCTCGCCGACGCAGACTCGCATAAAAAATATCGCTAAGAGAAAAAAGAAAATAATCTTTCCGCTCTTCCTCATCCTCTCCCTCTCCCCTGTCTAGTCAGAGAAAACAAGAGAAGAGAGAAAGAAGAAAGAGGTAGAGAAAAAAGAAGAGCCTCCTTCCTCTCGCCCCTCTCACTCCCGACTCGCCCCGCTCCTCCTCTCCTCTCTCCCCTCCTCCTCTCCTCTCTCCCCTCCTCCTCTCCTCTCTCCCCTCCTCCTGTCCTCTCTCAGACCAACATAGGGTCTATCCTGGCAGCAGTGAACCCCTATAAGCAGATCCCAGGTCTGTATGACCCAGAAGCAGTAGGCCTGTATAGTAGACACCACCTGGGAGAGCTGCCCCCTCACATCTTCGCTGTGGCCAACGAGTGTTACCGCTGCCTCTGGAAGAGGCACGACAGCCAGTGTGTTCTCATCAGGTCAGTTCACCAGGGGCTTGGGGACCCTCATGGCATTAACTAGTAACTGGTCAGTTCACCAGGGGGCTTGGGGACCCTCATGGCATTAACTAGTAACTGGTCAGTTCACCAAGGGGCTTGGGGACCCTCATGGCATTAACTAGTAACTGGTCAGTTCACCAAGGGGCTTGGGGACCCTCATGGCATTAACTAGTAACTGGTCAGTTCACCAAGGGGCTTGGGGACCCTCATGGCATTAACTAGTAACTACTGTAATCACAAGAGACTCCAACACACACGATTAAACAAGTAGTTTAATACATGGTACATATTGTAATATGTAATTTATACATATTGTCATATGTAATGTACATTTGTAGTTCAGGATTTGGGGCCTCATATTGAAGAGATATGTTATATGATAGCTGACATACATCCACATTTTGTGGAAATCTAAAATTGATTAAATCGTTTTTTCCCTCATCAATCTACAACTAATACCCCATAATGACAAAGCAAAAACAGGTTTTTATAACTTTTTGCAAATAAAATATAAACAACAAACTGAAATATCACATTTACATAAGTATTCAGACCCTTTACTCAGTACTTTGTTGAAGCACCTTTGGCAGCGATTACAGCCTCGAGTCTCCTTGGGTATGACGCTACAAGCTTGGCACACCTGTATTTGGGGAGTTTCTCCCATTCTTCTCTGCAGATCCTCTCAAGATGGATGGGGAGCGTCGCTGCACAGCTATTTTCAGGTCTCTCCAGAGATGTTCGATCGGGTTCAAGTCCAGGCTCTGGCTAGGCCACTCAAGGACATTCAGAGACTTGTCCCGAAGCCACTCCTGCGTTGTCTTGGCTGTGTGCTTAGGGTCGTTGTCCTGTTGGAAGGTGAACCTTCACACCAGTCTGAGGTCCTGAGCGCTCTGGAGTAGGTTTTCATCAAGGATCTCTCTGTACTTTGCTCCGTTCATCTTTCCCTCGATCCTGACTAGTCTCCCAGTCCCTGCCGCTGAAAAACATCCCCACAGCATGATGCTGCCACAACCATGTGCCTTTTATTGAGCAGTTGCTTCCGTCTGGCCACTCTACCATAAAGGCCTGATTGGGAAGATTGGCGGCCAGCTCTAGGAAGAGTCTTGGTGGTTCCAAACTTCTTCCATTTAAGAATGATGGAGGCCACTGTGTTCTTGGGGACCTTCAATGCTGCAGAAATGTTTTGGTACCCTTCCCCAGATCTGTGCCTCGACACAATCCTGTCTCGGAGCTCTACGGACAATTCCTTTGACCTCATGGCTTGGTTCTTGCTCTGACATGCACTGTCAACTGTGGGACCTTGTATAGACAGGTGTGTGCCTTTCCAAATCATGTCCAATCAATTGAATTTACCACAGGTGGACTCCAATCAAGTTGTAGAAACATCTCAAGGATGATCAATGGAAACATGATGCACCTGAGCTCAATTTCGAGTCCCATAGCAAAGGGTCTGAATACTTATGTAGATAAGGTATTTCTGTTTTGTATTTGTAATACATTTGCTAAAATTTCTAAAAACCTGTTTTTGCTTTGTCATTATGGGGTATTGTGTGTAGATTGATGAGGAACAACTTTTAATTAATTAATTTTAGAATAAGGCTGTAATGTAACAAAATGTGGAAAAAGTCAAGGGATATGAATACTTTCTGAATGCACTGTATATGTGCGTCTATCTCTAGTGGAGAGTCAGGAGCAGGGCTGACATATCTGTGTGTCTATCTCTAGTGGAGAGTCAGGAGCAGGGCTGACATATCTGTGTGTCTATCTCTAGTGGAGAGTCAGGAGCATGGCTGACATATCTGTGTTTCTATCTCTAGTGGAGAGTCAGGAGCAGGGCTGACATATCTGTGTGTCTATCTCTAGTGGAGAGTCAGGAGCAGGGCTGACATATCTGTGTGTCTTATCTCTAGTGGAGAGTCAGGAGCAGGGCTGACATATCTGTGCGTCTATCTCTAGTGGAGAGTCAGGAGCAGGGCTGACATATCTGTGTGTCTATCTCTAGTGGAGAGTCAGGAGCAGGGCTGACATATCTGTGTGTCTATCTCTAGTGGAGAGTCAGGAGCAGGGCTGACATATCTGTGTGTCTATCTCTAGTGGAGAGTCAGGAGCAGGGCTGACATATCTGTGTGTCTATCTCTAGTGGAGAGTCAGGAGCAGGGCTGACATATCTGTGTGTCTATCTCTAGTGGAGAGTCAGGAGCAGGGCTGACATATCTGTGTGTCTATCTCTAGTGGAGAGTCAGGAGCAGGGCTGACATATCTGTGTGTCTTATCTCTAGTGGAGAGTCAGGAGCAGGGCTGACATATCTGTGTGTCTATCTCTAGTGGAGAGTCAGGAGCAGGGCTGACATATCTGTGTGTCTGTCTCTAGTGGAGAGTCAGGAGCAGGGCTGACATATCTGTGTGTCTATCTCTAGTGGAGAGTCAGGAGCAGGGCTGACATATCTGTGTGTCTATCTCTAGTGGAGAGTCAGGAGCAGGGCTGACATATATGTGTGTCTATCTCTAGTGGAGAGTCAGGAGCAGGGCTGACATATCTGTGTGTCTATCTCTAGTGGAGAGTCAGGAGCAGGGCTGACAAATCTGTGTGTCTTATCTCTAGTGGAGAGTCAGGAGCAGGGCTGACATATCTGTGTGTCTATCTCCAGCGGCGAGTCAGGAGGAGGGCTGACATATCTGTGCGTCTATCTCTAGTGGAGAGTCAGGAGCAGGGCTGACATATCTGTGTGTCTATCTCTAGTGGAGAGTCAGGAGGAGGGCTGACATATCTGTGTGTCTATCTCTAGTGGAGAGTCAGGAGCAGGGCTGACATATCTGTGTGTCTATCTCTAGTGGAGAGTCAGGAGCAGGGCTGACATATCTGTGTGTCTTATCTCTAGTGGAGAGTCAGGAGCAGGGCTGACATATCTGTGTGTCTATCTCTAATGGAGAGTCAGGAGCAGGGCTGACATATATGTGTGTCTATCTCTAGTGGAGAGTCAGGAGCAGGGCTGACATATCTGTGTGTCTTATCTCTAGTGGAGAGTCAGGAGCAGGGCTGACATATCTGTGTGTCTATCTCTAGTGGAGAGTCAGGAGCAGGGCTGACATATCTGTGTGTCTATCTCTAGTGGAGAGTCAGGAGCAGGGCTGACATATCTGTGTGTCTATCTCTAGTGGAGAGTCAGGAGCAGGGCTGACATATCTGTGTGTCTATCTCTAGTGGAGAGTCAGGAGCAGGGCTGACATATCTGTGTGTCTATCTCTAGTGGAGAGTCAGGAGCAGGGCTGACAAATCTGTGTGTCTTATCTCTAGTGGAGAGTCAGGAGCAGGGCTGACATATCTGTGTGTCTTATCTCTAGTGGAGAGTCAGGAGCAGGGCTGACATATCTATTTGTCTATCTCTAGTGGAGAGTCAGGAGCAGGGCTGACATATCTGTGTGTCTATCTCTAGTGGAGAGTCAGGAGCAGGGCTGACATATCTGTGTGTCTATCTCTAGTGGAGAGTCAGGAGCAGGGCTGACATATCTTTGTGTCTATCTCTAGTGGAGAGTCAGGAGCAGGGCTGACATATCTGTGTGTCTTATCTCTAGTGGAGAGTCAGGAGCAGGGCTGACATATCTGTGTGTCTATCTCTAGTGGAGAGTCAGGAGCAGGGCTGACATATCTGTGTGTCTATCTCTAGTGGAGAGTCAGGAGCAGGGCTGACATATCTGTGTGTCTATCTCTAGTGGAGAGTCAGGAGCAGGGCTGACATATCTGTGTGTCTTATCTCTAGTGGAGAGTCAGGAGCAGGGCTGACATATCTGTGTGTCTATCTCTAGTGGAGAGTCAGGAGCAGGGCTGACATATCTGTGTGTCTATCTCTAGTGGAGAGTCAGGAGCAGGGCTGACATATCTGTGTGTCTATCTCTAGTGGAGAGTCAGGAGCAGGGCTGACATATCTGTGTGTCTATCTCTAGTGGAGAGTCAGGAGCAGGGCTGACATATCTGTGTGTCTATCTCTAGTGGAGAGTCAGGAGCAGGGCTGACATATCTGTGTGTCTATCTCTAGTGGAGAGTCAGGAGCAGGGCTGACATATCTGTGTGTCTATCTCTAGTGGAGAGTCAGGAGCAGGGCTGACATATCTGTGTGTCTTATCTCCAGCGGCGAATCAGGAGCAGGGAAGACCGAGAGTACCAAGCTGCTGCTCCAGTTCCTGTCTGTGATGTCACAGAAGTCTGCCTGGACACCCCTCTCTGAGAGGAGCACCCGCGTGGAGCAGGCCATCGTACAGAGCAGGTAACCGATTGATTGATTCTACGGACATCCAGGACCCATACAGGTCTGTCTGATGGCCGGTCTGTCTGTCTGATGGCCGGTCTGTCTGTCTGATGGCCGGTCTGTCTGATGGCCGGTCTGTCTCTTGTTACGTTCCCCAGCAAGAAAACCAAAGATGTCGCTCAAACAGAAGAGGGAACTAACAGGTGGGGTTTTAGAAGGGGTTCAGAAAGACCCCTTAATGGGGGGGTCCACTGGAGGTCGACTAGCAACAACAACTGGGACCTAAAAGACACCCACCATGAGACCCACCATGAGACCCACTAAATTTGACCAAGAACAGCCAAATAAATTAAAAACCCCAAACTGAAAGACAGGAAGTAAACCAACAAGTGGAGCAAAATGAAATCAGATAAAGAAAAGTTTTTCTAGAAATCAAAATGGGGAGAGACAACTAAAGGTGTTAACCTTCCACATCTATCAAGACAACTGGAGCACTAACCAGCACAGGTGTAAAACCAAAGCCTGTAACACTCTCTCCCTCTCCCTCTTCCTCTCCTCTCTCGCTCTCTCTCGCTCTCTCTCTCTCTCTCTCTCTCTCTCTCTCTCTCTCTCTCTCTCTCTCTCTAGCGTCTGTATGGATCTGTCTCTATCTGCTCTACTAGCTCGAGCTCGAGCTCTCTCGATCTCTCGAGCGAGCCTCCCGTAGCTTATCCGCAGTCGGTCATCCTACTATCTATGCTCTCTCTCTCTCTCTCTCTCTCTCTCTCTCTCTCTCTCTTCTCTCTCTCTCTCTCTTCTCCTCTCTCTCTCCCTCTCTCTCTCTATTTTTCTCTCTCCTCAGCCCCATCATGGAGGCGTTTGGGAATGCCAAGACGGTGTACAACAACAACTCTTCACGCTTTGGGAAGTTCATCCAGCTCCACTTCTCCCAGAGTGGGAACATCCATGGAGGCTGCATCGTAGACTGTATCCCTATAACACTAACTGTGTCTCACACACACAAACACACACACACACATACCTTTTAACACTAACTTGACCTGACTTACTAGTGGGCTCTTAGCACTGCCGTACTTGTGCTGATGTAATGGCCTGCTCTCAGGACCTGTAATGTCTGAATGGCTTTAGAGATGAAATTATCTTTCCTGTCTGTGTTTTCCTTAACTTCACACCTTTAGATTTACTTGAAAAGAACCGTGTAGTGAGACAGAACCCTGGAGAGAGGAACTATCATATCTTCTATGCTCTGCTGGCCGGGACAGACAAGGACCACAGAGGTGAGACTCTTACACTAGAGGACAGTTACAACACACCAGAGATGGCACCACAGGTTCAAAAGTGGTGTAGCAAAATTCGTATGTCTTTTCTGGGGCCTGGAGTTTTTCCTGATCTCATGACCTGGTCGGGTAAAACTCTGGGTCCTATTTGCAGGCTATGACAAAATGTTGTTATCATAGATAGCTTCCCTTTTCATCAGTGCTATGACTATAGGCTGGGGGTTTTCTCGTCGGGTCATTGAATTGGAAACACTCCTGGCCTAAGGTGGATCAAACCCTTTCAAACTACCACAAACCTATTATTATTATTATTATTATTCATTCTGAATCTGATATCAAAAGAGCCAGAGACAACAACTTCCATGGACAACATACTCTGTAGTTTAGTGAACTACTATATCAGGGCTGGACAACATACTCTGTAGTTTAGTGAACTTTTATAGCAGGGCTGGACAACATACTCTGTAGTTTAGTGAACTACTATATCAGGGCTGGACAACATACTCTGTAGTTTAGTGAACTTTTATAGCAGGGCTGGACAACATACTATGTAGTTTAGTGAACTACTATAGCAGGGCTGGACAACATACTCTGTAGTTTAGTGAACTACTATATCAGGGCTGGACAACATACTCTGTAGTTTAGTGAACTTTTATAGCAGGGCTGGACAACATACTCTGTAGTTTAGTGAACTACTATATCAGGGCTGGACAACATACTCTGTAGTTTAGTGAACTACTATAGCAGGGCTGGACAACATACTCTGTAGTTTAGTGAACTACTATAGCAGGGCTGGACAACATACTCTGTAGTTTAGTGAACTACTATAGCAGGGCTGGACAACATACTCTGTAGTTTAGTGAACTACTATAGCAGGGCTGGACAACATACTATGTAGTTTAGTGAACTACTATAGCAGGGCTGGACAACATACTCTGTAGTTTAGTGAACTACTATATCAGGGCTGGACAACATACTCTGTAGTTTAGTGAACTACTATAGCAGGGCTGGACAACATACTCTGTAGTTTAGTGAACTACTATAGCAGGGCTGGACAACATACTCTGTAGTTTAGTGAAATACTATAGCAGGGCTGGACAACATACTCTGTAGTTTAGTGAACTACTATAGCAGGGCTGGACAACATACTCTGTAGTTTAGTGAACTACTATAGCAGGGCTGGACAACATACTCTGTAGTTTAGTGAACTACTATAGCAGGGCTGGACAACATACTCTGTAGTTTAGTGAACTACTATATCAGGGCTGGACAACATACTCTGTAGTTTAGTGAACTTCTATAGCAGGGCTGGACAACATACTCTGTAGTTTAGTGAACTACTATAGCAGGGCTGGACAACATACTCTGTAGTTTAGTGAACTACTATAGCAGGGCTGGACAACATACTCTGTAGTTTAGTGAACTTCTATATCAGGGCTGGACAACATACTCTGTAGTTTAGTGGACTACTATAGCAGGGCTGGACAACATACTCTGTAGTTTAGTGAACTACTATATCAGGGCTGGACAACATACTCTGTAGTTTAGTGAACTACTATAGCAGGGCTGGACAACATACTCTGTAGTTTAGTGAACTACTATAGCAGGGCTGAGTGTTATGTAAAGAATGGTTACAATGTCTTTAAATATTCATTTCACTCTATACACAATGTTAAGAAGTGGACTTTGAAATCAAGTTTGAGTCAAGTTTTATGTAGATAAGTATTTTAATTTAATGTCATAAAACCTATTATTTGTTCATCTGATTACATTGCCCTTCTGTAATTATTAATTCTGTCAGCTTTATGTAAGGCAGGGTTATATATTCACATAAAGTTTATATTATATAAATTCATAGGATTCATACAATACATCATGCTGTAAATCATACATGGTGCGGATCATATATATAAATCTATTCACAAAACCATACAGTACCAGTCACAAGTTTGGACACACCTACTCATTCCAGGGTTTTTCTTTATTTTTACTATTTTCTACATTGTAGAATAATAGTGAACTCATCAAAACTACTCAATAACACACCTGGAATCATGTATTAACCAAAAAAGTGTTAAACAAATCAAAATATATTTTATATTTGAGATTCTTCAAAGTAGCCACCCTTTGCCTTGATGACAGCTTTGCACACTCTTGGCATTCTCTCAACCAGCGTCATGAGGTAGTCACCTGGAATGCATTTCCATTAACAGGTGTGCCTTGTTAAAAGTTAATTTGTGGAATTAATGCATTTGAGCCAATCAGTTGTGTTTTGACAAGGTAAGGGGGGTATACAGAAGATAGCCCTATTTGGTAAAAGACCAAGTCCATATTATGGCAAGAACAGCTCAAATAAGCAAAGAGAAACAACAGTCCATCATTACTTTAAGACATGAAGGTCAGTGAATATGGAAAATTCCAAGAACTTTGAATGTTTCTTCAAGTACAGTCGCAAAAACCATCAAGGCTCTCATGAGGACCACCACTGGAAAGGAAGACCCAGAGTTACCTCTGCTGCAGAGCATAAATTCATTAGAGTTAACTGCACCTCAGATTGCAGCCCAAATAAATGCTTCACAAAGTTCAAGTAACAGACACATCTCAACATCAACTGTTCAGAGGAGACTGCATGAATCAGGCCTTCATGGTCGAATTGCTGCAAAGAAACCACTACTAAAGGACACCAATATTAAGAAGAGACTTGATTGGGCCAAGAAACACGAGCAATGGACATTAGACCGGTGGAAATCTGTCCTTTGGTCTGATGAGTCCAAATTTGAGATTTTTGGTTCCAACCGCCGTGTCTTTGTGAGACGCAGAGTAGGTGAACGAATGATCTCCACATGTGTGGTTCCCACCGTGAAGCATGGAGGAGGAGGTGTGATGGTGCTTTGCTGGTGACACTGTCTGTGATTTATTAAAAATTCAAGGCACACTTAACCAGCATGGCTACCACAGCATTCTGCAGCAATACACCATCCCATCTGGTTTGGGCTTAGTGGGACTATAATTTGTTTTTCAACAGGACAATGACCCAAAACACACCTCCAGGATGTGTAAGGGCTATTTGACCAAGAAGGAGAGTGATGGAGTGCTGCATCAGATGACCTGGCCTCCACAATCCCCCGACCTCAACCCAATTGAGATGGTTTGGGATGAGTTGGACCGAAGAGTGAAAAGCAGCCAACAAGTGCTCAGCATATGTGGGAACTCCTTCAAGACTGTTGGAAAAGCATTCCTCATGAAGCTGGTTTAGAGAATGTCAAGAGTGTGCAAAGCTGTCATCAAGGCAAAGGGTGGCTACTTTGAATTATTTTTTATTTTATTTGTCATTTAGCAGACGCTCTTATCCAGAGCGACTTACAGGAGCAATTAGGGTTAAGTGCCTTGCTCAAGGGCACATCGACAGATTTTTCACCTAGTCGGCTCGGGGATTAGAACCAGCGACCTTTCGGTTACTGGCACAACGCTCTTAACCACTAAGCTACCTGCCGCCCAATCTCAAATATAACATATATTTTGATTTGTTTAACACTTTTTTGGTTACTACATGATTCCATATGTGTTATTTCCTAGTTTTGATGTCTTCACTATTATTCTACAATGTAGAAAATAGTAAAAATAAAGAAAAACCCTTGAATGAGTAGGTGTGTCCAAACATTTGACAGGTACTGTACATGGTGCGGATCATATACAGTGCCTTCGGAAAGTATTCAGACCCCTTGACTTTTTCCACATTTTGTTACGTTACAGCCTTATTCTGAAATGGATTAAATAAAAATCGTTATCAATTTACACACAATACCCCATAATGACAAAGTGAAAACAGGTTTTAAAAAATGTTTGCAAATGTATTAAAAATAATCAACAGAAATACCTTATTTACATAAGTATTCAGACCCTTTGCTATGAGACTCGAAATTGAGCTCAGGTGCATCCTGTTTCCATTGATCATCCTTGAGATGTTTCTACAACTTGATTGGAGTCCACCTGTGGTAAATTCAATTGTTTGGACATGATTTGGAAAGGCACACACCTGTCTATATAAGGTCCCACATGATTTGGAAAGGCACACACCTGTCTATATAAGGTCCCACAGTTGACAGTGCATGTCAGAGCAAAAACCAAGCCAAGAGGTCGAAGGAATTGTCCGTAGAGCTCCGAGACAGGATTGTGTCGAGGCACAGATCTGGGGAAGGGTACCAAAACATTTCTGCAGCATTGAAGGTCCCCAAGAACACAGTGGCCTCCATCATTCTTAAATGGAAGAAGTTTGGAACCACCAAGACTCTTCCTAGAGCTGGCCGCCCGGCCAAACCGAGCAGTCAGGGGAGAAGGACCTTGGAAATGTCCACTCGCCCAGCGCTCCAGACCCTAGAACTGAACATGAGTAAAACCCTTCGCTTGATACGGTCATCCGTAAGAAAAGTCGACATTAGAATGCAGTTTACTTTAAACCACCTCTGAGCGAATTTATCTAAAGAGCTCTAGTATGCCTAAATATTATTATTATTATTATTATTATTATTATTATTATTATTATTATATTATTATTAAAGTCGTTTTCCAATGCTTTGTCACAATTATATCAGTTCTAGCGCGTTAATATGTTTTATGGAAAACGGGAGTCTCCATAATGACAATCTAAATAGCCTACCTAACTGGTAACAAGTTGTCACAAGGTGCTGCTCTGCCTCCTGGACTCAGCTGCCTCAGCTGCAGCACTCTCTCAACCAGACCCCCTCTGGCCCTCCCCCTCGCCACCATCCACACACAGACCCCACTGGCCCTCCCCCTCGCCACCATCCACTCACAGACCCCCTCTGGCCCTCCCCGTCGCCACCATCCACACAGACCCCCTCTGGCCCTCACCCCCTCGCCACCATCCACACAGACCCCCTCTGGCCCTCCCCCTCGCCACCATCCACACAGACCCCCTCTGGCCCTCCCCCTCGCCACCATCCACACAGACCCCCTCTGGCCCTCCCCCTCGCCACCATCCACACAGACCCCCCTGGCCCTCCCCCCCTCGCCACCATCCACACACAGACCCCCTCTGGCCCTCCCCCTCGCACCATCCACACAGACCCCCCCTGGCCCTCCCCCCTCGCCACCATCCACACACAGACCCCCTCTGGCCCTCCCCCTCGCCACCATCCACACACAGACCCCCTCTGGCCCTCCCCCTCGCCACCATCCACACACAGACCCCCTCTGGCCCTCCCCCTCGCCACCATCCACTCACAGACCCCCCCTGGCCCTCCCCCTCGCCACCATCCACACACAGACCCCCTCTGGCCCTCCCCCTCGCCACCATCCACACAGACCCCCTCTGGCCCTCCCCCTCGCCACCATCCACACAGACCCCCTCTGGCCCTCCCCCTCGCCACCATCCACACAGACCCCCCCTGGCCCTCCCCCCTCGCCACCATCCACACACAGACCCCCTCTGGCCCTCCCCCTCGCCACCATCCACACAGACCCCCCCCTGGCCCTCCCCCCTCGCCACCATCCACACACAGACCCCCTCTGGCCCTCCCCCTCGCCACCATCCACACACAGACCCCCTCTGGCCCTCCCCCTCGCCACCATCCACACACAGACCCCCTCTGGCCCTCCCCCTCGCCACCATCCACTCACAGACCCCCCCTGGCCCTCCCCCTCGCCACCATCCACACACAGACCCCCTCTGGCCCTTCCCCCTCGCCACCATCCACACACAGACCCCCTCTGGCCCTCCCCCTCGCCACCATCCACACAGACCCCCTCTGGCCCTCCCCCTCGCCACCATCCACACACAGACCCCCTCTGGCCCTCACCCCCCTCGCCATTCACACACTCACTCACTCTCTCACTCACTCATTCAGTAACATCCTGCTCACTGCCTGATAGTCAGCAGCAGCAGGTCACAGTCAAATATATATTTTTCAGTGGTGTAAAGTACTTAAGTAAAAATACTTTGAAGTACTACTTAACTCGTTTTTTGGGGTATCTGTACTTTACTATTTATATTTTTGACAACTTTTACTTTTACTTCACTACATTCCTGAAGAAAATGATGTATGTTTTACTCCATACATTTTCCCTGACACCCAAAAGTACTCGTTACATTTTGAATGCTTAGCAGGACAGGAACATGGTCCAATTCATGCACTTATCAAGAGAACATCCCTGGTCATCCCTACTGCCTCTGATCTGGTGGACTCACTAAACACACATACTTTGTTTGTAAATGTGTCTAAGTGTTGGAGTGTACCCCTGGCTGTCCGTACATTTTAAAAACAAGAAAATGGTGCCATCTGGTGCTTGATATAAGGAAGTTGAAATTATTTATACTCTTATTTTTGATCCTTAAGTATATTTTAAACCAAATACTTTTATACTTTTACTCAAGTAGTATTTTACTGGTTGACTTCCACTTTAACTTGAGTCATTTTCTATTAAAGTATCTTTACTTTACTCAAGTATGAAAAACTGTCGTATTAAGTACATTTTCCCTCAATATAGTAGTTATCAGCAGAGTCAGAGATAGTTATCAGCAGAGTCAGAGATAGTTATAGTAGGAAAGGACGAGTGCAGTTGTTCTTTTTTGGGGATTTATTTAAGACTCTTTGAAGAGGTGGGGTTTCATACGTTTTCTTAACATGGGCAGGCACTCCACCGTCCTGACGTTAGGGGGAAGCTTGTTCCACCATTGGGGTGCCAGGACAGAGAAGAGCTTTGACTGGGCTTCGTTTACACAGGCAGTCTGATTCTGGGCAAAAATATCAGAATTGGGCTACCTGTGAAAACGCAGTCTTTTGTGTCTCTAGAAAAGGTAAATTTCCTGAAGAGAATGTGAGCGCTTGCTTCAGCTGTCTAACGTTATTCTCTCTCTCTCTGTGTTCCAGAGCTGTACTTCCTGTCTGAGGGCCCGGAGTCGTACCGCTACCTGAGTCAGTCTGGCTGTGTGAAGGACAGGGGTCTAGACGACCTGCAGCTCTACGACAGGGTTATGGTGAGGCTGGCTGGTCTATATGTTATAGTGTTATAGAGTCAGTCTGGCTGTGTGAAGGACAGGAGTCTAGACGACCTGCAGCTCTACGACAGTGTTATGGTGAGGCTGACTGGTCTATATGTTATAGTGTTATATGTTATACAGTAGTGCCTTGCAAAGGTATTCATCCCCCTTGGCGTTTTTCCTATTTTGTTGCATTACAACTTGTAATCTAAATGGATTTTTATTTGGATTTCATATAATGGACATACACAAAATAGTCCAAATTGGTGAAGTGAAATGAATAAAATGTGGTGTGTGCATATGTATTCACCCCCTTTGCTATGAAGCCACTAAATAAGATCTGGTGCAACCAATTACCTTCAGAAGTCACATAATTAGTTAAATACTTGAGCAAGGCACTTAACCCTAATTGCTCCTGTAAGTCGCTCTGGATAAGAGCGTCTGCTAAATGACTAAAATGTAAAATGTAAAATGTAAATAAAGTCCACAACAAACCTGCCAAGAGAGGGCCGCCCACCAAAACTCACTGTCCATAGGACCACTTTAAGCCGTACACTCCACAGAGCTGGGCTTTACGGAAGAGTGGCCAAAAAAAACAACATTGGTGTTCGCCAAAGGCATGTGGGAGACTCCCCAAACATATGGAAGAAGGTACTCTGGTCAGATGAGACTAAAATGGAGCTTTTTGGCCATCAAGGAAAAAGCTATGTCTGGCGCAAACCCAACACCTCTCATCACCCCGAGAACACCATCCCCACAGTGAAGCATGGTGGTGGCAGCATCATGCTGTGGGGATGTTTTTCATCGGCAGGGACTGGGAAACTGGTCAGAATTGAAGGAATGATGGATGGCGCTAAATATAGGGAAATTCTTGAGGGAAACCTGTTTCAGTCTTCCAGAGATTTGAGACTGGGACGGAGGTTCACCTTCCAGCAGGACAATGACCCTAAGCATACTGCTAAAGTAACACTCGAGTGGTTTAAGGGGAAACATTTAAATGTCTTGGAATGGCCTAGTCAAAGCCCAGACCTCAATCCAATTGAGAATCTGTGGTATGACTTAAAGATTGCTGTACACCAGCGGAACCCATCCAACTTGAAGGAGCTGGAGCAGTTTTGCCTTGAAGAATGGGCAAAAATCCCAGTGGCTAGATGTGCCAAGCTTATAGAGACATACCCCAAGAGACTTGCAGCTGTAATTGCTGCAGAAGGTGGCTCTACATAGTATTGACTTTGGGGGGGGGGGGGGGGGGGGGGGGTGAATAGTTATGCACGCTCAAGTTCTCTGTTTCTTTGTCTTATTTCTTGTTTGTTTCACAAGAAAAAATATTTTGCATCTTCAAAAGTGGTAGGCATGTTGTGTAAATCAAATGATACAACCCCCCCCCAGAAAATCAATTTTAATTCCAGGTTGTAAGGCAACAAAATAGGAAAAATGCCAAGGGGGGGTGAATACTTTCGCAAGCCACTGTATGTCATAGCTCTATACGTTATAGTGTTATAGAGTCAGTGTGAAGGACAGGAGTCTAGACCACCTGAGCCGATATGATAGTGTTAAGGTGAGACTGACTGGTCTAATTGGTCGCGTCTACATGCTGTACCTTACCATGCTGCCACCAGAGGGCGCCATAACAATTATAAAAACTACAGGCCCAGTACAAGACCTGCAGACCCAGCCTTTATATATACGGTCTATGAGCAAACATGTAAACATTCTGTATTCAACAGGAGGAGTGTTGATCTGGGATCAGGATCCTCCTGTCCATGTAGTCTTATACATTATGATCTAGGATCAGGATCCTCCTGTCCATGTAGTCTTATACATTATGATCTAGGATCAGGTCCCCTTCCTGTCCATGTAGTCTTATACATTATGATCTAGGATCAGGTCCCCTTCCTGTCCATGTAGTCTTATACATTATGATCTAGGATCAGGTCCCTTCCTGTCCATGTAGTCTTATACATTATGATCTAGGATCAGGTCCCTTCCTGTCCATGTAGTCTTATACATTATGATCTAAAAGGCTAAACTGATCCTAGTTCAGCACTCCTGCAGCTTGAGGATGTATTTGATCCTGTCTGTGTTCAGTAGGTCTCTCATCCAGTCTCTGTCTCTGCTGCCACCAGGAGGCTTTAAAGGTGATGGAGTTCAGCGAGGAGGAGATACGGGACGTCTTCAAGCTGCTGTCTGCTGTTCTCCTGATGGGGAACATAGAGTTCATGACGGCTGGAGGAGCACAGATCACCTCTAAAGGAGGTGAGAGGAGAGCCTCTTCTGCGTGTTCTCTGGTTCTGCCATCCTCCCTGTCACCCCTCTCCTCACCCTCCTCCCTCGCCCTGGCCCTCCCGAGGAAGCTTTGCTTCAGGAAAGGGAGAACACTGAACAAGCAGCAACATGCGCTAGAATTCCTTTGTTACCTGGATCTCATTTCCAGAGCACCAGGAACAAATCCACACATCATAATGTGTTAATACTAATTGTAATTATTTTGCACTATAGCCTATTTTATTGCCTTACTTCCATAACTTGCTACATTTGCACACACTGTATATATATTTTCTGTTGTATTTTTGACTTTGTTTTGTTTACCCCATATGTAACTCTGTGTTGTTGTTTTTATCGCACTGCTTTGCTTTATCTTGGCCAGGTCGCAGTTGTAAATGAGAACTTGTTCTCAACTGGCTTACCTGGTTAAATAAAGGTGAAATAAATAAAATAAAAAATCTAGTAACAGCGTGTAACAGCGTGTAACAGCGTGTGGCATTAATACCAGGAATAAGAAGAAACCTCAACACCTTATTTCACACAGCTATCAGCTCCTCCACGTTACTTAATGATTCTGACCAAACCAGTCGACTGTGTTAGTCCAGTAAAACTGTTTTATCTACTGTCCCTCTCTATTGGTCAGTAACATCTGTCCCTCTCTCTCTATTGGTCAGTAACATCTGTCCCTCTCTCTCTATTGGTCAGTAACATCTGTCCCTCTCTCTCTATTGGTCAGTAACATCTGTCCCTCTCTCTATTGGTCAGTAACATCTGTCCCTCTCTCTATTGGTCAGTAACATCTGTCCCTCTCTCTCTATTGGTCAGTAACATCTGTCCCTCTCTCTCTATTGGTCAGTAACATCTGTCCCTCTCTCTCTATTGGTCAGTAACATCTGTCCCCTCTCTCTATTGGTCAGTAACATCTGTCCCTCTCTCTATTGGTCAGTAACATCTGTCCCTCTCTCTATTGGTCAGTAACATCTGTCCCTCTCTCTCTAGTGGTCAGTAACATCTGTCCCTCTCTCTATTGGTCAGTAACATCTGTCCCTCTCTCTCTAGTGGTCAGTAACATCTGTCCCTCTCTCTATTGGTCAGTAACATCTGTCCCTCTCTCTATTGGTCAGTAACATCTGTCCCTCTCTCTATTGGTCAGTAACATCTGTCCCTCTCTCTCTAGTGGTCAGTAACATCTGTCCCTCTCTCTATTGGTCAGTAACATCTGTCCCTCTCTCTATTGGTCAGTAACATCTGTCCCTCTCTCTAGTGGTCAGTAACATCTGTCCCTCTCTCTATTGGTCAGTAACATCTGTCCCTCTCTCTCTATTGGTCAGTAACATCTGTCTCTCTCTCTATTGGTCAGTAACATCTGTCCCTCTCTCTCTAGTGGTCAGTAACATCTGTCCCTCTCTCTATGGTCAGTAACATCTGTCCCTCTCTCTATTGGTCAGTAACATCTGTCCCTCTCTCTAGTGGTCAGTAACATCTGTCCCTCTCTATTGGTCAGTAACATCTGTCCCTCTCTCTCTATTGGTCAGTAACATCTGTCCCTCTCTCTATGGTAACATCTGTCCCTCTCTCTATTGGTCAGTAACATCTGTCCCTCTCTCTATTGGTCAGTAACATCTGTCCCTCTCTCTATTGGTCAGTAACATCTGTCCCTCTCTCTATTGGTCAGTAACATCTGTCCCTCTCTCTCTATTGGTCAGTAACATCTGTCCCTCTCTCTCTATTGGTCAGTAACATCTGTCCCTCTCTCCAGTGGTCAGTAATGTCAGTAATCTGTCTCTCTCTCCAGTGGTCAGTATTGTCAGTAATCTGTCTCTCTCTCCAGTGGTCAGTATTGTCAGTAATCTGTCTCTCTCTCCAGTGGTCAGTAATGTCAGTAATCTGTCTCTCTCTCCAGTGGTCAGTAATGTCAGTAATCTGTCTCTCTCTCCAGTGGTCAGTATTGTCAGTAATCTGTCTCTCTCTCCAGTGGTCAGTAATGTCAGTGATCTGCTGGGCCTGGACTCGTTCCAGCTGTCTGAGGTTCTGACCCAGAGGTCCATGATCCTGAGAGGAGAGGAGATCTGTTCACCCCTCACTGTGGAACAGGTAAGATGCTCCATGCCACTCACCTTGTCCCCCTGATAGACATGAGGCGTATTCAATGAAGAGAATCTGTTTTGAAAAGGAATGAAACTGGGAAGTGCTACCCAGATGTTGCGTACCCTACTGATCCTACCTCACTCTAGCGCTCCCAGTGCCTCTCTCTCTCTAAATCCCTTGCGTGACTTAAGCACCATTTCCTGTCCTTTGTGTGCCAGATTCCTTATACAATAAACCCAAGTGATAATAATCTGACTCAGTAGCACAATAGAGGTCAGGCTGGGGCGCAGTAACACATCTTCCACACTAGGGGCAGTGTAACAATAGAGGTCAGGCTGGGGCGCAGTAACACATCTTCCACACTAGGGGCAGTATAACACACAACTGTTACCTACATGGGACACCATCAGAATTATTCCCATCTCCAGTTGGGCTTTATCTAGCCACAGTATCTCATTTGAATGAATATGTGAGAAATGTAATGTATTCAGTGATTAGATTTGAAATATATTGCTGTATCTGCAGTCTTCTTCACCATAGATATGCATCTAAACATCTTTGAGGTTTGAATTATGGGAAACTATTATTCTTGGGACGCGTGTCTGCTGCCCAAGGAATGTCATAAAACGAATTCAATATGCAGACTAAGCCGGGGCCATTGTGACCCACTGTGACGGCCACACGATGAACACAAGAAACCTTTTCATGATTTAAACATGAAAGCCCAGACCAGACCAGGTCTCTCTCTCTCTCTCTCTCTCTCTCTCTCTCTCTCTCTCTCTCTCTCTCTCTCTCTCTCTCTCTCTCTCTCTCTCTCTCTCTCTCCTCTCCTCTCCTCTCCTCTCCTCTCTCTGCCAGCCAACCGGCCAATCAACCAGCCAACCAACCAACCAATCAGCCAACCAACCAACCAACCAACCAACCAATCAGCACCACCAACCAACCAACCAATCAGCCAAACCAACCAACCAATCAGCCAACCAACCAGCCAACCAGCCAACCAACCAACCAATCAGCCAACCAACCAACCAACCAATCAGCCAACTAACCAACCAATCAGCCAACCAACCAACCAACCAATCAGCCAACTAACCAACCAATCAGCCAACCAAGCAAGCAAGCAATCAACCAGCCAACCAAACAACCAACCAACCAATCAACCAGCCAGCCAGCCAGCCAGCCAGCCAACCAACCAGCCAGCCAGCCAGCCAGCCAGCCAACCAACCAGCGAACCAGCCAAACAACCAGCCAACCAACCAGCCAACCAATCAACCAGCCAACCAACCAACCAGCCAATCAGCCAGCCAACCAACCAATCAACCAGCCAACCAACCAACCAGCCAATCAGCCAGCCAACCAGCCAACCAACCAGCCTCTCTCTATCTTAATAGACTCCCTGCTGGAGATTCTCACAGGTTGCCTCCCTAATGGCACCCTATTCCCCAGTGCACTACTTTTGACCATTGGCCTATGGACCCTGGTGTATATAGTGCACTACATTTGACCCGAGCCCCTACGGTAGGGTGCCATTTGAGACACAGCCACAGTGGCCTTAACGTCTAAGCCATATCCCTGGTCATAACCTGGACAAACAGCCTTTCCTCTGCTCTCTGACGGAGTTCCAGGAGCCACCAGTCCAGCTCTATTCTCTATTCAACATGGCTGCCGCTCCCACAGATGAATGATTGCCCTGGAGCATTGTGGCCCTGCAATAGACTAGCATCCTGTCCAGGAGGTTACTTGGACATCAAGCTACAGAAACAGGAGCCGTTCTGGCTCAGACAAGGCTACTGACCATTGTGCTCCTGAAACGCCAGACAGTACTGTTCTTGCAGCATGTTGAGTTACTGCACAATACCACACAATGCCTGTAGGAAGCTCCAGGACAACTCCATCTCAGAAAAAGAAAGAACATAGAGAAGTAATAGAAAAGTAAAACAAGTAATAATAAAATGTATAATAATATTAATAATAACAATTCCAATTTTTTATTAGAATGTTAGTTGCATTGCAGGGACAGGTTCAGAACGAGGAACTTCTTATCGCCTCAGCTGTCTTAAAAGGTTTCTCAACACAACAGACACTGTATATCTGATGATCAGGAGATAACGGCACCTTTCTGTTTCCATTATAATTTAACATTGTCCTTGGATCAGACAGACAGACACACAGAATAACAAGTCTTTCTCTCAAACTGTATTTACAGTGTTGCAACACTGTTGCCATACATTCAGTGGGTATAGACATTTATAACAACTGTGGGTGTTAGAGATGCACAGTGTCGCCCTTTAGTCAATTATTTTCTCTAAATTCTGTGAAAAGTTGTTTGTTTGGGTTTTTCTGACAGACTTCAGTGTTTTTCTGACAGACTTCAGGGTTTTTCTGACAGACTTCAGTGTTTTTCTGACAGACTTCAGTGTTTTTCTGACAGATTTCAGGGTTTTTCTGACAGACTTCAGTGTTTTTCTGACAGACTTCAGTGTTTTTCTGACAGATTTCAGTGTTTTTCTGACAGACTTCAGTGTTTTTCTGATAGACTTCAGTGTTTTTCTGACAGACTTCAGTGTTTTTCTGACAAGACTTCAGTGTTTTTCTGACAGACTTCAGTGTTTTTCTGACAGACTTCAGTGTTTTTCTGACAGACTTCAGTGTTTTTCTGACAGACTTCAGTGTTTTTCTGACAGACTTCAGTGTTTTTCTGACAGACTTCAGTGTTTTTCTGACAAGACTTCAGTGTTTTTCTGACAAGACTTCAGTGTTTTTCTGACAGACTTCAGTGTTTTTCTGACAAGACTTCAGTGTTTTTCTGACAGACTTCAGTGTTTTTCTGACAAGACTTCAGTGTTTTTCTGACAGACTTCAGTGTTTTTCTGACAAGACTTCAGTGTTTTTTTTGTCTGGTTTTGGTCTGTACGTCTCTAACTATCATTATTATG